GTCTTTTTTGTCAACAAGCCGAGGCGCAGCGGCAGTTGCACTCCCACTGGCAGCCATGCTTCTCGTTTTCTCACATGCTCTGGCAGCTAGCGCGTGCATGAGAGAGGGGAGGCACTTAAAGCGTGCTTGAGAGGGGAGGGACTTAGAGCGTGCTTGAGAGGGGCGGGACAGCAGGCACGGCTGCAGTGCAGGGAGTGGAAGCAGAGCGCTGAACACACACGGCTCTTATTAAAACGGCGCTTTCTCACCGGAGTACTTTTCCCCGTCATTCTTAAAGTACCGATACTAATGAAACGGAGGAATCGTAACGTTTTTAACGGCAGGGTATCGCGGTACCTTTCAAGTATCGGTACACCGTGCAACACTAGTCAGGAGTCAGTGTCTCTCCCCAAAACTCACACATATAAAATTCGATATGAACTGAAGAGCCGCATGAAACTAGGCAAAGAGCCGCATGCGGCTCGAGAGCCGCGGGTTGGCCACCCCTGCCTTAGAGTAATCAGAAATGTTTGAACTATGGCTGTTCCAAATAGTTTGAATCATCATTCATAATGTTACACTTTCATTTAGAAATCAATATTTGAATGCGGCACGGTTCTGCACAGTAAAGATGAGGCTACACTAATATTATAATGCTAATAACATACATGTAGATTTATCTTTATGCATATTGTAGCATTAATATTCCAGTGGTGGTTATGTTATTGTTTTGACCTCCAATCCCTGTAAACAATGCGTTTTACGAATGTTTGTATTTCCAAAATGTTGCTTTTTTGAAGCAACAAATCCACTCAACTTCTATAACCGGTTCTTCCTGTCTTTTGTTTTTCTGTTGTACAGGAAGTAGGATTGACGAGTTTAATTCCTATTGAAAGTATGTGGTGGTTGTTATGTCAGTCCTCAGGCCCCTATGAAAGTGAACTGAGGCTCAAACTGCGAGCAGCTCTCTCCTAAAGCTTCAGTGCTGTGACCCTTTAACTTTCAACACTCTGTATAAAGTGTACCCAGCTTTAGCGTGTATAATTTGGACTGCATTGAAGCAGGCAGTGCTTTGTGCATGGCCCAATGGCTTTATCACAGTGGGGGCTGCGCACACACAAACATAGATAATACACACACAACCACATACAAACAAACAAACATAATACACACACAACCACATACAAACAAGTCAGGCATGTACAACACACACACACACACACACACACACACACACACACACACACACACACACACACACACACACACACACACACACACACACACACACACACACACAAGGGTTAGCTGTATAAGGTGCCCGTTCCGCTACTGGGTTGCAATTAGCGGGTCTGTAACGAGCTCTGGGACCGGCATCCTCCAGCAGCAGACATGCTACAGAGGCTGTGAGGCAGCAGAGCAAAACACCTTTCATCACTTGACAAATCTTTACTTCAAGTGGTTGCTAATGCATTATAAACACATGAATGGAAGTTACATGACAAAAGAAGAAACCTTGTGTAATAGAACAGCTTTATACTGCATTTAATGGCCTGATAGTTTGATGTGTATGTAAGGCTTTGTCAGATTAAATGTGTACATTTTTTCTTATATTGTGTGGATTTAACTACATCTAAAATGGCTTTATCTCCATTCCCCATTCATGCCTCCGCACCTTCGGGGGCCGTGCCTTCAGTGTCGCTGCCCCCACCCTCTGGAACTCCCTCCCTGCTGAAATCCGTAACGCCCCTTCTCTCAACATCTTCAAATCTACCCTGAAAACCGATCTGTTCAACAAAGCCTTCCAACAATAACTCACGTTTCCTCCCCCTTGCAATGTAACACTTCCATTTCTGCCCCCCGTTTTATGTCTTTATGTCTTGTCCTTATATGTTTCTTGTTAAGCGACCTTGGGTTAATGAAAGGCGCTATATACATTCAAGTTATTATTATTATTTATTAGTATTTTGTGGCATTACAAAAATAGACATAAGTCTACTGCAGATCCTTTAAAAAACGTTTTACAGCAGCAGTAAGACAGATAGTTATTTTTTTGGACTCCTTTGTTTACTTCAGTAACATAATGACTAACACTATGTTACACTCACGCTTTTATTGGGTAGTGCTCCAACACATTGTACGTGATAGGCTAAGCGGCGGGACATTTCCAACACACCTCTAATTGGTTGACAAATCACAACAGAGCCGGTCAGCTAACCAATCAGAGCAGGCTGGGCTCTGGTTTCAGACAGAGGGTGAAAAGAGGTGCTGCAGCACAGGCAGTATGAGAGAAATAAAGAGCTTTTTGAACATTAAAGCATGGAGACATGTCACAGGAGAGGAGCTAAATACAAATATGAACCTGACAATGAGCATATTTCCTCTAAAAAATGAAAAATACAACAGCATATAAAAGTGATTCCCTCAAAACACAAGATCAGAAGTCCATGTAAGAAATATTAAGTAAGCAGGCAACTGTGTGTGTGTACTACTGAGTTGAGCATGAGCTCACACAGGTGATGATGGCTTTATCATTACAGACTCATGACAGGGAGAAACACACACTCAAACACACACACAGCACCAGTAGAAATATATAGCTGGTAATAATCACACAAGGTGACTCTAGTGATGGATTAGCATCGTCATTGGCAACAACATCAGTAGTGTGTGTGTGTGTGTGTGTGTGTGTGTGTGTGTGTGTGTGTGTGTGTGTGTGTGTGTGTGTGTGTGTGTGTGTGTGTGTGTGTGTGTGTGTGTGTGTGTGTGTGGTCTCCCAGGGGATTTGTGAAGATGTATGTGGCTGTAAAGTCAAGAAGTGATTTGCTCCACTGCTGTGGCAGAATACTATCTGTGTTCAATAGACACAAAGAGGGGGGAGAGACTACTGGAATAAAAGGAACGGGGGGGGGGGGACAGGAGTAATAGAGACCTCAGGATAGAGATGTTACAAAGGTTGTGTAATAGGGTTACTAACCTTGGCCACCATGTGAGGCTTCTACATAATGACCACAACTATTGGGACATAATGTGTTGGATTGCTAACAACACAATTTCACACTTGTTTCAATGACAGGTTGCTAACAATATATTAATAAAAACCTCTGAGAAAAAACCAAGCCATGCAGAGGCCAGTGGAACAGAGGCAACATCGAGAAAGGGACATTTGCTTTCTGTTGGACAAAGGGACAGTGTATACAGTACAGTATGAGGGGGGATTAACCTAGTATTCCATATCAGTGTCAGCATGTATCCAGATTATCTACACCAAATTCAAAGTCCATGGGCGTCACTATGTTTTGAAAAGCGGTAAGGACACTTATCAGGTAAAAGCACGAGCAGTGTACCACTGGAGCGGTCGGCATACTATTAGCCGTGTCACTCTGGAGAAGAGTATAAAAGTCTTGTTTGCAGTTCCATCTGACTTTTTAAGTTTAACAGCAACATGATCACAGTTCCAACGCAGTCCCCCTAGATGTTTTTGAATTGAATTTTATTTTTCAAAAATGTCTTTGCTCAAAGTCTATTAAGATAGAAACTCCTGTGTTACGATTATTGTGTTATGTCACGTTTTGTATTGGGTGTTTTGCTGTTCTCCCTGTCATGTTTTCCTCCGTGTATATTGTCTGGTCCCTCTCCCTGTGTTTTTCCTCCTGTCGTTAGTTTCCCTGGTGTGTCTAATTGTTTGATTGTGTTCACCTGTGGCCCTTGTGTTTCTCCTTCCCTGCCCGGCTGTTTCTCGTCTTGTGATTACCCCTCCCTGTATTTAGTCTTGTCTCTCCCTGTGTTCAGTGTTGGTTCGTCGTTTGTCTGTGACTGTGTTCACCGGGGAGTGTTCTGATTTTCCGTGTGCCATATCCTTGAAATAAAGGTATTTTCAGTTTTTTTTCTGCATTTGGGTCCTGCCTGCTTCACTCACCGTAACATCCTGGCTATTTTATGAGGAAACCAAACCTCTAGAGGTATTATGACATCAAATGTGTCGTAGGCAGGGGCGTTTTCTGGACCTGGAAACATTCGGGGCTTAGCCCTCAGTGGCGGCGCCAGAGATTTTATTTTGGGGGTGCTGTGGGGTAGCTTGACGTTTCATAGAGGGTGCTCAAACATGTAGGGTTTCCCATTAAGGTACCGGGCGCTACAGTGGAACTTTCTACTGCAACACTCCCCACGCAAATACACAATACACCCACGACTGTTACAATGAAGGCTCGATAATCAGCTCACGGCATATAGGTGTAAGCAGGGGTAAAGTGCTATTTCTATAAGTGGGGAGTGGACCTAACATTCTCTAGGGGGTTCAGGGGGCTCCCCCAGGATGACTTTTCTTTTTAATATTGAAGTTAAAAGCATCAATCTGGTGCACTTTGAGAGTAAAATTAACAACAAAACTGTGTGGCGCCTACACTAATTGCGCCGCATAAGCGCATAGTTGCGCCGCATTTGCGGCTCAGTTGAGGCTGCCTCCGCGAGATGGGGTCCCCTCCGCGAGGTGAGGCCCCACGCAGTCTGCGTGATCTAACTGCCTCTGCCTCCTGTAAAGCTTCACAGGTCCGTCGGTTATGTCCTGCACGGCTCGCCCAGCACCCAGTTCAATCAGTCATAGAAAGTCCAAAGATTTTTTGCAGGGAGCGAAACGGCAACGTAGCTGCTTAATGTCTATGTTTTTTTTTTACATGTCTAGTAGTTTACTCCATTGAGTGTAGACAAGAAACACGTGTAGACGAAATATGGGTTTTGTTTTGAGGAACGCAAAGCCGCGTAGTGACACAAGTGACGTTATGCAATTCAGCTGTTTGCCGCGCATGCGTACCTGCGTACCAGTTATGTGCACCCCTGATTATATTATTGAGGGAGAATTGTCCGGGGCTAAAGCCCCGAATGCCCAGGCCAGGCGACGCCACTGGTCGTAGGCATCTACTCCTTTGAACAAATCTGCCCATTTATTTGACATGACCCCCTGAGAGCAAGCCATAGCCATGCTTCACATTACAACCCCGCACAGTGTGTATGTGAGTACTTACAGGTGGCGGGTTTGTTGCAGTTGTGTCCATGTCTGAAGTACTGAGGGTTCTCTATGACGGGGATCCTGGTCATCCCAATCACCACGGCGTCCGGCCCCCCATCCAGAGTACAGTGACTGATAATCCCATGGTTCACGTGATGAAGGGGGCTGGCAGAGTCTTCCTCACCACTTATTACTGCTACTGGTCCTAGAAAGCATGTAAAAAAGATACAGAACATATTCAATGTTTTGTTATCTAGCTAAATATACATAATTCTTGAACAATTCATTTAATCTAGCAAACCATTAGCTGGTCAGCTGATTTCCACACAGCCAGGAATGCTTTTTTAAATGCACACAATCATTCAGGTGGTAATTCAATAGGGTGGCATCTATGTCATCATTCAGCCAGTCCACTTATTGTCATCGTGCTTAGATAGCAATACAACTGAAAATAATTGCAGAGTTTAAGCGTATCATAGGTACAGAACAGTCATAATTTGTTGCAGTAATTGAATCATTACAGTTCTATCATGGTGGCCTTAGTACACCGTGTGCATAGGCCCGGTCCCCAGGGACACACAGCACAGGACTACTGATGTGGACCGCTCAGTATTCTCAGCTGGAACCAAACACATCTTGCTGCTGTTAATAGGGCTGACAGTCACCCTTCACAGCTGACAGAAAACAAGGAGGCATTTGGGCTGTGAGCTGGTGGGGGGGGGGGGGGGGGGGGGTTGATGGAACAGAAGGGTACAGGAGGACATGATGAGAGAGGAATGAAATAAATAAAAGAGCCTATGAGAGCATGATATAGAGGATGCAATGGGGAATGAAAGGAAAGATGGTGGCATGACTACTGCCTGTGCATTAGGAGTTCAACACATGAAAAGCATTCCCATCAGGTTTATAGCCAGTGATAAATTAAAGACTTTATGGCAGTTACTACATTTAAATGCAGAGATATGTCCCTCTTAGACCTGCTACAAACATAACAAAGCAACATTTGCAACAGTTAGCTCCAGTGATTCTCTCATGAGTGTCCAGCATGGACTTAAAGGGGCCCTATTATGCTTTTTGGGGTTTTCCCTTTCATGTTGTGTGTTCTATAGGTTTTGGTGCATGTAAATGGTCTGTAAAGACTAAAATCCCTGTGTTCCATCAAGAGGGGGTTTCTCTCCCAAACACTACCCCCCCCCCCCCCCAACTTGCCTGAGGCAGTATGAGAAAAATTAAGAGCTTTTTGAACATGGAAACATGTCACAGTAGCTAGATACACAAAATACTGATATGAACCTGATAATGAGCAGTCCTCTTTAGCTTATTCTTTACTCTGTTTATTATGCAGTTAGCGACACAAAGAGCTCATAGCAACTATTAGACATGATCAAGCCTCCATGACCCTACTTTGTGGTCGGAAAAGCAGCTACATTTCCTAGATTAAATGTCAGTCATTAAACTTGTTGAACATTTTGCAAACTACGGTTATTGGTTATATTTTGTCAAGAAGTAGTTTCGACATACTCACAATATTTGTGTGTGTGTGTGTGTGTGTGTGTGTGTGTGTGTGTGTGTGTGTGTGTGTGTGTGTGTGTGTGTGTGTGGTGTGTGTGTGTGTGTGTGTGTGTGTGTGTGTGTGTGTGTGTGTGTGTGTGTGTGTGTGTGCGTGTGCAAAAGAGGGCATGCAGCATGTTTATTAGCGAGCTTTAGGAGTGTTTTTACTGTAGGTGCATTACATGTGTACAAGTGTCTGTTAAGGGTTAGACAAATGGCTGTGGCTGGGAGGTAAATGGTCGTTCCGCAATCAGTGGCTCAGAGGTTTGATCCCCAGTCCATGCAGTAAACGTGTCCAAGTGTCCTTGGGCTCGGTACTTAACCCAAATTGCTGCCAATGGCATGTCTAATAGCAATACCAGTTTGATGCATGTGTGTGCGCTTACTGTTCACTCATGAGTCTGTCTGGTCCTGTTATGAATCCAGAATCTCACTAGTTTAGCTATGTCTTCGGTATTGAAATGTACTGTATTTGAATAGCTTTGGATTAAAGTGTCCGCCAAATTGCATTGAATACAAATAATAATAATATATATGCTGTCTATTCTGGCTATTTGTGTTTTTTTATGCACTTCTAGCTGAGGTTTGTAGCAGCTCCTCCATAGTGAATCTCAGTGAGGAGGTGTGGATGTAAGCTGAAGGACACTTGGGAAGAACTTGTGAGTAGTGATGGACATGTTGGCTGCTACAGGGATCTGACTCTGACCTTTGTCAGTTCCTGCACACACATATCTGTGCTAATATGTAGGCCATGTGCCAGACAAGCTGACATGTGAGCTGAACAGTCATCTGATTGCGGATAAACAAGGAGGCAGAGTGTGTGAAGGGGAGACGTGGGGAGAAGGGTAGAAAGAGAAAAGGTGTCAGAAAGTGTGAGGTAGACAGTTCTTGTGGAGCACAAAGATCAGAGGTTGATGTTAGTGGAGCAGAGAGCAGACTGATGCTGTGACAGCCAGCAGACATGGAGCTGTTAACTTCTAGTTTACAGTCAGAGGCTCACACATCACTACTCGAAAAAGGATGCATGTTGGAATTGTTGATGTTATAAAGAACTATCTACTGTATGAGGTTAACAACAATTCAAAATGTCTTCCACATGTAGTGTCTGAGCAGTGAAAAGTGTTACAACGGAACCAAGGGGGCTTTTTTTGTTTAACCAAAAACGCATTATAAAAACCATTGATTCAAGACTAGAACCAGAGCTTAAAATGCTAACTAAGACTCAGTCCTGCACAAACTATATAAGAAATCAATCTCTTATTAAAGTCACATCCAGGGTTCAGACAACCGCCTGGCACCCAACATTGAGTGAATGTAAGACATCTGCTTCTGTAAACAGATTACAGACTTTGAACTGTTCCTTTAACCACCCATATTTTCCAACGTTTGTTTGTTCCTTTCTTAGTGGTCTTAATAATACAATTGTGTAGGATTTATTCCCAATAACTCAACGCAATGCTGCTGAAACTGCAAATCTTCAAATTGATGCAATTGCTTGTGTGTTTGAATGGGAATTGCCCAATCCTATCCTCTCAGTGAGTGCAGCCATGCTCCAGTGATGCACTGAGCATTAAAATTGGGACTCTGTTCCCAATTACTTGCAATTTGACTGGAACACAGAGCCCCTAATGTCTTATTGGAACTACCAGGGAATCCACTTGTAGAATAAAGAAAATGTCCTGAGGTCACAGTAATTTATGCTGTAGTTTACGACACGACCACCCCCTCCATTTTCCTGCCCAATTGGCGCCAGTCTTTCAATCACACATTATTACTCACATTAATCTAATAGGCCTGTAGTATGGATACCTGCTTCTCACTGGTTCACAGAGGAGTCACACATGATTTATTACCTCAATAGATCACCTGATCAGGCTTTACAAAGTGAGAACCCGGTTTGGTAACAGTTCACAGTACATTCTGGGAAATTAGACTTATGAGGACACATTAGCATACTACTGCAAAGTTTGACAGACAAATGTAGGGTGAAAGAGCAGTTGGGACAAACAAATGAAGGATGGCAAAAAACCAAATCAAATTCTGAGTTACATACACCATTAGAGGAGATTCTTAACTGTTCAATGATATCCTGGATGTCTTTGCAGCAGCTTATTGTTTGCGGAGATTAATTCATCGTATGGATTAGGCTAATTCATTTTAAGATAGTAGCATTGGGGACGAGGATGTTTATGAGGGAAAGTGCGGAGAAAATGTGGTGTGAGTGTGCTCGAGTGTGTGTGTATTTTCCAAGGGAAACCACACAACACACACCGCCTGTTGTAATGCTTTTGCTGTTAAATTGCTCCGTTTGTCAATCATCACCTTACTTTTACAGCTTTATCACAGTATTTATAATCTGAATTCATAAAGACAGGAAGTGAAACTGTCACGATCTGTCTTTGTGGTATTTTCTCTTGTCTTGTTTCATGTTTTATGTTGAAAGGTCTTCACTTCCTGTCTTGCCTGTTTCTGTCTGCGTTGTGTCTTGTTTAAATCTGTCTGTGGTTCCCGGTCGTTAGTTTCCCTGGTGTGTCTAATTTACCCGATTGTGTTCACCTGGTGTCCCTGTGTTTTCTCCTCCCTCCTCACCTGTGTCTTGTTTCTGTGATTAGTCTCGTGTGTATTTAAGTTCTGGTTTTTCTGTCTGTCTTTGTCGGTTCGTCTTTTGTCATGACTAGTTTGTCGGTGAGTGTTCTGTTTTGTCGTTGTTATCACCTAGCCTTGAAATAAAGGAATTGTCACTTTATTCTGCATTTGGGTCCTACCTGCTTCACACACCGTGACAGAAACCAGACAAGGCATAAGAATTGAAAACTTTTCAAAATAAACGGGAAACACAAAAACCAAGATCATGCCATTTGCTAATCCAACTCCTCCTGACTGTTCTTAACCAACCCCTCCTATAGTCATTGTCTAACATGGTAAATAATCCACCACCTGACTCTGATCCAACCTGAAAACCCCAAAATGTTTGCATTATTGTAGCAGAAAGGAAAATACCTCCCACGAATTTCCATTGACTCTTCCCACTATGCTTTTCTGTTAAGCTTTACTCTTTGTATACTTTGATGTCCACAAAACAAGCCAAACAATGCTCACTGCAAGATCCACAAGTAGAAACTGAGTCGACGGTTCTGAACACGCGACACACCTTTCTTTGCTACTTTCTTTGATTCATTGCGATACTATGATGAACTCTGAAAGGATTGTTGCATCACAACAGCTCCATTTACGACGTCGACAAGGAAAATATTAAGACAAGAATCAAATGAAGGTTCAAGGTTCTTTATTTTGTCATACGAACATAGCTACAGTGTAGTTATGCCGATGAAAATCTTAGGTCACAGGCTTCTCCAACAGTACAACACAATAACACAGATAAACAGAAAGATATAGTGCAAGTAAATATTAAATAGTAAATCCAAAAAAGTGAAATAGTGAAATAAGAGTTGATATGCAAGTTATTGGAATGATATATTAGATAAATAATTTCTAAGTAGCAGATGAATGTTGTGGATGTTGTTTCAGCAGTTCAGTTGTTTAACAGTCTTATTGCCTGTGGGATGAAACTGTCTCTGAATCTGGTGGTTTTAGTCCTGATGCTGCGGTAACGCCTGCCAGACGGCAGCAGACAGAAGAGGTTGATGGGGGTCT